CATTATGCTCGAGTGGAATGTTCACAAAATAAGAAGTTCAAGAAATAGTATTATGCCATTTGGCAAACCATGTATTATGTATGAAATGCCAACGTTGTTTCAAACAAAAAGTTATCTGCTCGAAGTACCAACTTTTGCTATAGATGCCCTTGCAACAGAATGTACAATTTTAAAATTCCCTTGTGATGAAGATTTTTACCGTTTATGTAATATAATCATGCTAGAAAATGGATTGTCACATAAATGTGACCCGTATGATGCAGTCGAACTTTATTCTCGACTTAGAACTATATTAAAAGATATTTATAACTGACATTGTATTAAACATGTTATTTTGTATATTTGCTTATAATGTTTGAAGGAAATAAAAATTGTAATTCTGTGTAACATTTTTATTAAAAACCAAAAAACAAACTATAGAATATTAAAACAAAATTAAAACAATAGGAACTAAAATTGTATTCTTGGAATAAAACAATAATTTGGATTAACATGAAACAATATCAGTCCAGAAACAATAGACCTACCCCGTTATTATAATGGTCCGAGTTTAAAGTCGAAATTTCGAGATTAAAGTCGAAATTTCGAGATTAAAGTCGAAATTTCCAGATTAAAGTCGAAATTCCGAGAATACAGTCGAAATATCGAGAATAAAGTCGAAATTTCGAGATTAAAGTCGAAATTTCGAGATTAAAGTCGAAATTTCGAGTTTAAAGTCGAAATTTCGAGATTAAAGTCGAAATTTCGAGATTAAAGTCGCAATTTCGAGAATAAAGTCGAAATTTCGAGATTAAAGTCAAAATTTCGAGTTTGAAGTCGGAATTTCGACTTTCAAGTCGAAATATTTAGCATAGTGGCGCATTCGTTTGCAAAATTGTTTTAATTCGTAATTTTTTTTTAAAATGTCCGGGAGGCTTTCCTGATTATAAAAGTGTAAGATGACACTCTATATCTGTTGATGTTATTGTTTAAACAACGAAAAATTAATTAAGCCAGAAAAAATGCATTTTTTGCAATGAATTAATTTTTTTTATATTCTTTGGGATATTTCGAATTAAAAACTCCTTACGCCCATCATCGTATATTTAACCCTTTAATTGTTATGAATGTTTTAAAATCCGAAATTGACAAAAATTCAAATTTTCTTGAATTAAATAATATACCTTAAAATTTAAAATGTTATAATTTTAAATTTTTTACCGAATATTCCAACTATAATAAACAAAATAACCTAAATAAATTTTCAAAATTTTGTTTGTTGTTGTTTTTTTACGTTATAACAATATGCTTCCTATGCGCGTGTACTTTTAGAGAGAAGTACTTCTATCTCGCTTCCAACTCAATGTATAAGATGGGTAAGAGAAAGCCCGATGTCACGCTGAATCAATTTTTTGCTGTTTTTCAGAGGTAATAAGTTAAAAAAAAAATATTATTAACATTTTTCATAATATTTTGTTATATTTGCCGATTAATAGTTTTGTATCATGTGATTTTTTTTTACTTTTTTAGATACTTTTGATAACTTTTTTTATTTATTAAAGTTAACAGAAACATTTATTTTTAACATTTTTTTTTATTCATGAAAAAATTATTGTCAGATACTGCCTGAGAAGTAAAATCTTCTTCAACCTTTTTTTTTTTCAATACGATAAAAAGGCCAAATGCACTTGTCGTGATCCGTGAAAAATGTCTACCTTTTTAAAAAAAAATTACGGATTAAAACAATTTTGCAAACGAATGCGCCAGTATGCTCTGGTCTATGAGCAAAACGTTACAAAAACAGTCTACAGATGTTTCCTTAGTGACAAAACTTTACGATTCACTGATACTGTATGTAAGCAGCTTGCGAACCGACGAAACATTTAAAGAAATCGAACAAAATGCTAAATATTTAACAAAATGAAATATTAACAAACTTGAAGTGAACAGAATCCGAATAAGAAAGAAAGCTTTCGATGAGAGTAAAGAAGTTGAAACGAATTTTGATGGAAAACAAAATATGAAAATCAACACAATTTACGGTATATTAGATAATTTGCCATCAGAACTAATTCGAAGAAAAATAGCCTATGAAAGGGTCTCAAATACGTTTGGAATTATGGGATCGTTATGTGATCTTTCGGATAATCAAATTTCAATAGAGGCTGCAAATTTATGGCAGAACTTGATAGAGATTTTGCAGAAGAATGTATTCAATTTAAATACTTTTCTAAAAGCTTTGAAGGAAGAAAACAAAGACGAAAACTACAATATGACTAAGATACTACAAGTTCTGAGAAGACTTAAAATAGTTGCAACATATCCAAATATCGACAGTGCTTTAAAATTTTTTTTGACAATACCAGCATCTAATGTTCTGGAGAGAGGTCGTTTTCAACACTATGTAGAGTCAAGAACTATTTAAGAAATAGTTTTTTTATTTCGAAGACCAGTAATTTAGCTTTAGTGTATATTGAGAGTGAACTTGTTGACTTTCTAGAAGAAGACGATATTATATCGCTTTTTATTTCAAACAAATTAAAGTCACTTTAATAAAAATGAAATGGGATTTTTTATTGATTTTTTATCTTGAAATGTTTGTAATGTTATTTTTTGTTATGTTAATATTCTTTCAAAATAAATGCACTGAATAATTGTTGAGAAGAGGCGCTTTAAAAGTTTTGGCCCGGGGCGCCGCTGGTGCCTAATCCGGCCCTGACATAGCTTCGACAGTCGAACTGATAGATTTGAAGTCAGCGCAAATGCATACTAATCTCAATTCTCCTTAAAGCCACCCTTGTGACATCGTATAGGAAGACAACAATCTCTGATTGTACTAGAAATAATTTCTAACATCCTTCCCACATAACATGTTCTATGAATATACTAAGAACGTACTGTATATGTTCTAGAAAGTATATACTGAGTACGTGCTTTTAAAGAATATTCTAGAAAGTATATACTGAGCACGTGCTTATAACAGGACATTCTTAGAAGATCCTAAAAGTCATAGACCCAGCATGTACCTCATATTCTAAGAACGTTCTAAATGCTTACACGTAAAAATTAACACCAAACACATGCAAAAACACGATTATATAATTATTATATAACCATTATATACTTATATGACTTTTTTCCAGATGCCAATCTGATAATTCGCTAGCAAACGCACTAATGTTGAGTGTTTAGGCCAAAAAATATTCTCAACCTTTAGAAGAGAAGAACGACATAACATAAAAAAAATTATCACGCTTTAGCTTATGAGCTTGTAATAGGTAAATAAATTAATAAAAATCAATTTCATCGTGTATTTTACACAAAATTAAACAAATTTTACTATATTTTTAGTTTTTAGGACCTACAAGTGATGTTAAAGCACAGGATATCCCAAATATTAATTGCCAGTGTGAATTTATTAATATGGTTAATACTAATGACGAATCTAAACTAAAATACAGTGTTACAAGAATTACATACACACTTTCTATGAAAAGAATCCTGTAAGGCCAGAAATTAACCTGGAAGAACTAGAAAATTAGCTAAAAAAGGACGAAAACTACAAAATCTTGGTAAGTAATTAACAAAAATATATTTAAACTTTCAGTAAACATAATAATCATTTATGCAACTCTTGTTTTTGTTGGTGGAATGCCATGTACAATTTTTAATGTTTTACGTTCAACAAAAATATTTAAAATATTTCATTAGCTATGTACACTTAATTTGTATATGTACCAAGTATATTGATTTTTTTATTTTTAAAGTTTAATGAGATCCAATGGAAGCAAGTAAATGAAAACTCAAGGCATTGATACAATAAAATATTGGTTGGTTATGGCCAAAGAAAGAATTTGTAATAAAAAGAATAAGAATGAATTTTTGAAAATATAGATTAAAAAAACGTTTTTCATTATATACTCTTATTTTTTTAATGTTCAATATTAATGAAACATCCTGTATTAGAGTATCCATTATACTCGTATGCCTAGTATATGCTAAATTTAAATACTCAGCATATACTTATTGCAAACTGTACACTTACTTGAAGTACATTCTCAGTACCTGCACAGCACGTATAAACAACGTCCCATAACATATACTTAGTATATTCTGAGAATGTACTAAATGCAAATAAAGTATATTTTCAGCATATGCGTATTCCTAAAAAGTATATACTAAAAATATGCTAAGAATGTATAATTGTTATCTGGGTTCAATCGTTCACCAGTATTAAGTTTTCAGTATGGTCCGCCGTAAAAGTGAAATAGACAAAGCATTAGGCTGCAAATAATGGGTGAAACTTGTAATAGGTCAGTAACATTTTTAAACTTATTCCTTGATATAGAATTTGACGCGTTTTTTCTATTTATTTAAATAAAATAAAAAGTTATTTCGACTGGCTAATTTTAAAATGCACTGCACTGCATTGCATTAAGAAGAATACATTTGTTTGACACATAACGAGACTCCTGCTAAATTTATCCAGAAATCATTGAATGACAATTCCTTGTAATCCTATTCAAAATTGTCATAGGTCCAAATTTTCTATTTCTACAATATGAATATCGAGGAAATTGTGAAGAAATACTTCTCTTCTTGAAATTTTATCCCATTTTCTTTTTCTTGTAATACAAGTCAAAGTAACACATGCACAATTATATACTGAGTATTGTTTATCTTATAGCAGAAATTCATACACATATATACAGGGTGATTTTTGTGTCGTATACTAACAGTGAGATATCGAAAAAGAACAAAATTTATACGTAAACGCTAAAAATATTTAAAATTTCTTAAATTATACTCAAAATTTGCCATTCTCGTATTTTGCGAATAAAACGTTTATTTTTTAAAATATAAAACAAAATTGAACACGAAACTTATTTTATAACTTTTTGTGGCTTACACACACAATGTTAGTATGCGATAGAAAATCGCTTCGTTTTTTAATTTCGGCATAGAAAATGCTATAAACGGATGCCAAATTCCTAATACCATTGTTAAAATAATAAACTTACCGAATCTTGCTGGTTTCTAGAAAAATCTGAAGGACTTTCGATCGGCGGTTTTTTGTCTTCTCCCCCTCCCCAATCTACTTCTTTTTTAAGACTCTGCAACAATAAAATATATCTAAAATTATAAAAATAAGAAAATTTAATTTGATTGCGCTATGAAAGTTGCAAATAAAAATCTTCTAGAGATTTTTCACCTAAGAAAACCCAATACTAACATCGTTGTGGTAGGTTCAACGAATCAAATTTCTTGATAAAAAGCAGGTTCAAGGTCAGTTATTTTGGATATGGTCAATCAAGTGTTTCTGATTTCAGATACACATAGATTGGTTCTAATGAAAGTGATAAACCAAAAAACTGTGGTAGTAGAGTGTAAAAATAAATGATAGGTAAATAGTGTTTTATTAAAAATATTAAAAAATGGATATACAAAACCTGATAACCTACACATTCTAAAAATAAATATAACATATTGGTATCAATTTTAAACGCATATACAGTAGGGTGGAGCGAATATGGCCAAAAAAAATTATTTTACGTTAATCTCTTGGCCTATGTATGGAATAGTTGCCTCTTAGAGAAGTAAATTACTATACAAAAAATTGGTTTGCTGAGACTTCATCTTTGGCTGCCAAATTGACATCTAAATTTCCAAAAAAATCGCAATGGTTAAAAAATGTTTTTCCTTTAATCACTTGGCATATATAGGAGATAGTTGCCTCTTTTAGAAGTGAATTACTGTAGAAAAAAATGGTTGGCTAAGACTTCATCTTTGGCTGCCAATTTGACATCTAAATTTAAAAAAAAAATAAGATAAAATACTTTTATGCAGCTCTTCGCTTATTTTCATAATAAATAACCAGAAAACTCGCTTCCTAAATGAAAATAACCCAGAACTCACCACGTGGAGGTGGCTGCAAGTCGAGTTCCACCACCCACCCACCCTTTTAATCAGTTTTTATAATCAGTTGTCTTTAAAAACTTGGTTATACTGACTTTTTGTCTCAAATTTTGGTAGGGATATTCTGGAGGCATTTCTAGACCTAATAAAGCCATCTCTTGCTTCATAGCCACATACTGCGGCTGATGCTTCTGTAACTAATTTCACACAGCGTTCCACGGCTTGGGAATGACAAGGAAATTTTAAAATATCAATTTCAGCAGGGACATCAGAAATGATTTCCTGGAGATCACTGTTCAAAATTTTTACTGTTAGAGGCGGCTCTGTAACTGTTATTGACCGCCAGTTAATTAGTTCAAAGTAGTCATCTGCATTAAAATTAAAATCGGGAATATTAAATTGACGAACTTGGTTTTCATTATGTTTTTCTTGTCTGCACTTTAATATTCTCCGAAGACCTAGTTCTCTTATATGCTTCCTTTCGTCCGCTAGCATAGCCAATAACAAATTTTCAGGGTGACCGTAGTAACCATTTCTTTGCAGTACCGGATCTACTACCTTCTTAAGCTCTTCAGGTAAAAATCTACTTTTTTTTATAATGCCAAAAAAATGATAACTACCAGGTCGACAAGAGGGTCGGACCTTAAGTTCAAACCAGGTTGGTGCGTAGACTTTCATAACGTATTCTGTAATTATATTTAAATTGTATGAAGGATTCTCGGTAGCAACATACAATCTCAAGATTCTGTTGGCAGTTGTTAACCATCTTGAATGTGCCATTTTGCCTGGTTCTCGCCGTGTTAGACTTGGCGAAATTGTTCCTTTGGAAATCGCAATGCAGATCTCATACAGATATTTTTGGTCTGTACTTAGCTTCGTAAGATCAATATCGGGAAAATTAACATCTATTTTTTTAAACTTCATAACCGGTTGTTTTTCGCAGTTTTCTAATTTTTTCCCAATTTCTCCGCAATAACCTTTTGGTCCAATAGTTTTTCCATCTAAATGCTGCAATAGATGTCGCAATGGCAGTTCATTAGTATGCATTAAACAAACAAACCACTGCAGAGGACGCACGAAAGAAATTTCAAGTTGCCGTATTATCCCATTTTTATAACCTGTATTTACCGCTGTCCCGTCGCATCCAATTGCTTGCACCTCAGAAATATCTATGTTTTTTTCCAAAAATTCCAATAAGCCTCTTTTAATATTTTGAGCACTTCCAGACGACGGAGTTATGTGACCAAGATAAACGGAACCCGGTTCTGAAACTAATACTATATGTTCTTCTGTGGTTGTCTTTCTTGAAATTGTATCTCCTTCCTTTACCATAATCAAAGTTCTATCCTTTCTTCCATCAAAATATATTCCATAGACACAGGATATTTCTTCTTCGTGCTTCTTTTTTAAATTCTTGCGAGTCTTAACTCTTTCTCTCCTAATTTTACTGCGGTCTATTATTTTGGATGATTCTTCGGCTGTTATTAATCCCATGTCTTTTAGGGCAGCATTAACAAGAATGGCAGCGGATCTGTCTGAGACTCCTGTTCGATCACAGGCCTGTGCTAAAGAAAGGAGTTTTGTTCTCATCTGAGACGTAAAAGGCGCGTTAAAGATTTCAACATTTTTTGGAACTTGAGGGTCGATACTATCGTTGGACGAAACATTGGTGCTTCTGGGGCAATCTTTCCTGTCACTTGATGTTACTTGACAAATGTCATCGTCCTCTTTGGATTTTTGTTTCGTTCTCTGGTCAGCAATATTTTTACGCTCTAATCTCTTTTCAAGGATTTTAGTTGCCTTTATATCAATTTTGCCAATGACCATTTTCCTTAAAGTTTTTTGGTCGGTTAAAAAGCTCCTTTCATTTATAGGTACTTTAATTTTGCAAAAACACTTCAAAAAGTCTTTACATTTACACAATGAAATATCAAATAACTGTTTTTCTCCAAATTCTCGAAAACGAATAACTTTGGGTGAGATATTTAACTTGCCATCCTTTTTTATAGGCTTTTTAATATCGCGATATTTCTTGTGATACTCCTTTATCTTGTGTAAAATTTGTTGGTCAGATACTACAGAAATAGAACTTTTTTCCCACAAAACTTTTAACTCATTTATTAACGACAAACACAAATTACCCAAACTCGGCTCTTGTTTATTTAAATTTAAAAGTTCTTGTTTTAAAAACAAATAATGTCTAATAATGTCGGCATAGGTTGGAAGCATATTGTCTGTAAATATTTTTGGATCACCAAACACCGGACAGAATGATTCTAAACGCGTTTGAGGCATATTTATTAACAAAAGAAAAACAACACTAACGAAACAACTGCACTGCGGCTTGCGACACTGTTATTGTTGAACTGAAGCACCTTGCCCTGCAGCCTGCAACAAGTCCGTGCTTGTTGCTAAGACACGACTCTAGACGATAATTTCCGAAGTTTATAATCAATTTGTATTAAAATTAATATGGTAAGCGCTCGAATCGGCCTAGATATTATTTGCATTTAGTTAAAAAACTATACAAGTTTCTTGGATATTTATACTACAAAGCTAAAAAACAAGGTCATTTGGGCAGCCAAAGGACATATGCGATTTAAATGAGATTTTGCACAGTAATAACATTTATTCAAAGGCAACTATTCCGCATATAGGCTAAGTGAAATTCAAAAATATTTTTTTTCGCTCCACCCTAATATACAGCCTCTTATGCTGTCGGTTCAGGTAAACCACGCAATTTATGATTTACTTTAAAAAACAAAAATAAATTATTAGGTGTCACATCAGTACTATACGGCGAGTGATTCATTATTGCTGCAGTTGTCAAACTTTTTAAAATAAACGGAGTCTAGACAAAAATCCAATTGAATTTATAGTAATAAAGTTATAAAAAATAACTCCATTTTTGGTGATAAATCTGTTTTATATTTGAAATCAAGGTTTACAACTTATCTGTGAAAATAAAAAATAATTTTATTGAAAAAAAAGTAAAAAATGTTTATTGATTTAAATATTTTTCCTCATATTAATTTTTTGCCTTGTTAATATTTTTGTATATTATTTTATAGACTGAGCTATGAAGCGCCTAGGACAGGGGACAGGGGTTCCCACCTTATCGAGACTGAAGCCCACAAGGGTAAACTCGTAGCGTAACAAAAACGAGAAATGATTTAACTTGGAACGAAAGACCGAAAGCCGATAGTAGTATTAGGACGTTAAATTTTTTGGTTTGTGAAGCATTGGCATTACTTAGGTTAAACCATGTGATGATTTTCACAAGCCTTGATTTTTAAAACCATTCTAGATCGCCTTTTGATTAGGGTTTAAAAACTTGTTCGAGCAATTTATCCAATAATAATTGGCCCCTTTACCTTTTAAGCCTGCTCATGTAAAATATTTGGGATCCTTACTTCGCCTATTTATATTCTATTAATAAAGGACAGAAGGATGAGTATTGCAACTATGTTAAAAGAAATAAATTGGCTTTCAGTTCAGTACATGACTGATATTTATTTATAAAATAAAAATGACAGTACCATCGCATCAGATCTATTAGAAAAAAATCAATATAATTCGCAATATCACAACTATAATACAAGAAGCCAATCTGACTTTCATGTAGGTACGGCGGCAAGCCATCACTAAAAGTTCCTAAAATACAATTTTTATTAAAGGTTTAAAAAATTTAATAGACTGCCTACAAAAATTAATAAAACAACAATAAATGTATTCATAAGTAACCTTAAACAAAACTTGATAAATAAACAGAACGGATATACTTTCTTGTGAATATACTCTTTAAACCTGCCCTTATTAAGTATTTCCCTTAATTTATTGTTATTTTACCCTTCGTTTTACCCGCATTTATTATAAATTGTTTTGAGATCATGTACTTTATTGTAAAAAATTACTTGATGTTATATTAATACTACTTACTATGTTTAAATTATTAATAGTTTTGCGACGATAGGTTATAGCAACTTATAGCCACAAAACTATTTTTGTGTTAAAGTAGATCCATAGAGAGCAATGCAATTTACAAAGGCCTTCTTTCAACATACAAATAAATGACAACTTAATGATTAAAATTAAAAAGCAACAAAATACCTCGGTATCATAATTGATCAAAATTTTAAATGGGTTGATCACATTACGTCATTAAAATCTCAAGGTAAGAAGATTCATTTTTAAATTTCATGAATTGAGGAAATTTATGACTAGGAGTTTACTAATTATTATTTACAATTCGCTGGTTGAATATGTAATCCAAAATCGTATAATTAAAATTATCTACAAAAAACCAGCATTTTATCCCACCTCTGTTTTATATGATAAAAAAGTGCTTTGTATAAGAACATTATATTATCTGTCTTGCTGTACCTTTATTTATGGAAAGCCTGAATTGAGATACCCAACAAATTATTTGCAATAAATATCAAAAGAAGCATACAATTTTAAATTATTTGACATTCAAGAGCCATTCACACATCACAGTTGACATCTTGATACTTGACAGGCACATCCAAGCATTATTCTGATTTTTGCCAAATAAAATGGCCGGTGTTTTGACAGAGAGCCAATAAATTTGATGAACGTGTTTTTGTGGCAGGGGCAAAATAGTAGTACGCTTTTATAAATTGACAGGCTTGGCGACTAATTTCGAATAAAAATAGCCTCCAAAATGGCTATGGTTGCAAGTATGAAGGTCGCAACCCGCCTTAGAAATTTCACCTTTACTATCAACAGCTGTTGTTTGACAGGCCGTTAGAGAATGTTTGCAATTTATGGAAAGTTAGAATGTTAGGAATGTTGACGTCCCCTACTTCAATTCGGTTGCAAATAGACAACTTTGGGGCTACTTCGTTTATGCACCAAAACAATTCATATTTTTGCTGCTTTGAGACAGCGCCTGTATTTTCAAAAATCTGGAGTAAATCTGACTCTAACTAGTCCTGACTTCTCAGATGAGCCACCCCGTATATTTCTTATCCCATAGTAATTGGAAAAATTTCCCGAAACACGTCGGATGATTTTCTTTGGGGGACATCTTTTGACGTATATTTGAGGCTTGAACGAGCAACCCCCTATGAGGGGGCGCTTCAATCCCTTAAAATTGAATAGGGAAGAGGGGTTAAGTGATACTTCATATGTAAGGTCTTGGAAACCTTTTTACAACGGTGTATAAAAAAATCACATTCTTAAAAAAAATAATATGTCTGCTCAGTACGCAGGCAGATTCAAAGATGCTTAAATTGACTATAATAAAAAGTATACTGCTGTGTTACTTCTTATCTAAATAAAACTATAAAATTAATGTTTTTTTATTTAAATATGTATTAGTTTAGGGGTTAACCTTAGATAAAAGCTTTAATCTAAGGGGTTAACACATTTCAGATTATTTTCCGTTGTAAAAAGGATGCAACTCACCAACTTTTTTAAATACCGTACTTTAACTTCATTATTTAAAAGTTGGAATGTTGGTCCCATTATGTATTTTATAATAAACTAAAACCTAATGTTCTTCATCTAGTTGCTGACTGGATAGAAAGATCCCTGGACAATAAGGAGTCCGCCTTGGGTGTTTTCATAGACATAGAAGGTGCTTTTGATAAAATCACCTTCCCAAAGATAATACACTCACTAACCAACAGAAATGTTTCACAAATGGTTAGTGGGTGGATAAATAACATGTTCTCAAAGCGAGCAGTAAACATAAGTGTAGAAGATGTGAATATAAGAGGCTTGGTTGCAAGGGGATGTCCACAGGGAGGGGTGCTATCACCTCGACTGTGGAATATGGTCCTCGACAGCCTGATCAGCCGCCTCAATAATGACAGTCACTACACAATAGCGGGTGACGGAAAATTCCTCGAAAACAATTGCTCGAAACAAAATTGCTCGAAATGAATTGCTCGAAAAATTGTTCCTCGCATGGACAATTCTTCGAATGCCTAGTTACTCGTATAACAATATCTCGAAAAGACAATTCCTCGAAATAAGAAAATAAGTTATTTAAAGAAAATTTATTAAATTATTACAAATACAAAATAATTAAATACACTATAAAAAGTGTTTATACTTAGAATAAATTTATTAAATTTTATTTACAAATATACAGGGTGGCCCATTAGTGTGTGGAAGTGCAAACATAAATATTTTAAAATCATAAACTAAAAATGCAATTTTCTTAAAAACAGTAAATTTTAGAGAGTACCTTGTACAGACATAATTCGAAGGGATAAAATAGTTTTATAAGATGGAAAAATAAATACTAGGTGTATATGCAGAATTTTACGCTGAATTCGATGGTAAACAAATATACAGGGTGTCCTATTTAAAAGAAGCTTACATCATGATGTCTCGCTTGGGCTGAACACCCTGAATATCTTAAATTATTTTAGAAATGGAAAAAACACTGGTCTGGTTTCGGGGTATACATCATGCACGACATTAATTACAGCACTTTCAAAATCGGTCATTATTGTTTCTGGATTTGCATTAGGTATAAATTCTTTAATTTTGCGAAATAATTCTGAATAAATTCCTCAGTTTTATTTGGTAGAAGCGAGTAAATTAGTGGCACAGCAGTATTGCCTTGTAAACAATGTACGGTATACAAATTGCCCAATAAAAAGAGGAGTAGTTTTGAAGGTTCCATCGGTATACCAATGTGCGGATGATTCCAACAGACGTAAATTCCTGCTAGCAGGAAAAAAATGATCCGATCTTCCACTTGCCCTTTATCATATAATAAGAAATCTTCTCCATTTGCAGTGATCGTAAACTCAGGTGAAAATTGAATGTCTTGCCGGCGGTTTGGAACTGCGGGACCCAAATTTTGACTTGCTCGAATATTTCTGATAGTTCTTTTGATGGAACTTATTGCAGGCAATCTTACTGCTGCTGCTTGATAAACATTTTCTGATGCAGTAGATATAATAAACTGTGGCGTGTCTCTAGTAGATTTTGCATTTTCTTTGATGGTATTGTATACTCTAGCAGCACCTACACTTGCAGCGTCAGCTATGTGATTGTGCACACTATTTATTTTTGTTGCATTGTCGCCGATTGTTATCACCCGAGCGGAGCACTTAAATTTTTTAGAAACTTCACATTTCCAATAAACTTTATTTTTAAAAACTTTGTCTTTAATTAACAAATAACCCTCGATTAATAATTTGTTTTTGCCTTTTTTAACTGTACTCGTTAAAGGCACATTTAATTATTTTGTATTTGTGTACATTTATTTTAGTAATTTATTTTCTAATTTCGAGTGCCGTGAGGTTAACCCACCCTCCACACGTTACAGATACAAAAACCTAATGTTGACAAAAAATTAACAAAAATTATTTTTAAATTTAACTAGTTTTTACCTTGTCCTTGAAAAATTTATAAAAATGGAGCTATCCCCCTTTTGCACTAGTATCTTCAATTCTTTTTCCAAAAAATACCTCTAAAAGAAATGCAGGCCAGAGAGCAATTGAAAGGGTATCATCAGGACCTCGAATTGGACCAACATACCCATTCAATTTTTTTACAGGTAAATCAACTTCTATTTCCTGACCTGTTATTAGAATTACAAATATTACTTCGAATGGTTCAAAATGTGAGAGCAAATAATTGTGTGACAAAAATAATAAAATGCATTCTATTTCGTTATTTAAAAAAAAAAAGTTGTGACACACACTATAATTATTTTCAAGTCCTCATAGTGTCCTCTGTTCTCAAAAAACATTAAGTTATGTATACAGGGTTAGCAACTAAAAAAGTAAGTGAGTATATAAGGAATGTTGTGACTTACCAGAGGCACTTGTTGGACAGGAGGCAGATTCGAAGGACCGGGAATAGGCTCGCAATTAACAGAAGGTGACAGTCTATTACACAAAGGATTCGGTAAACTGGCAGAGGAACAAGTGGCTATCAAATTATTACTATTATGCAGACTCATATCGCTAGCACCAAAATCGTTAGACGCTGATTGAGACCCGCTCTCCTCTAACGGCGATAATTTCTCTTCGTTCTCTATTTCTCTATCTCTATCGCGATCTCTATCTCTATCACGATCTCTGTCCCTATCTCTATCGCGATCCCTGTCTCTGTTATCTCTGTCCCGTTCGCGTTCTCTGTCTCGTTCTAAGGGCGATTTGCATATTCGCAGGTTTTGAACGGGGCTAGGCGGATGTTGGGATTCCTCCATATCGTTGGGTGTGATGGGTCGGGATTGGTTGTGGCTAAGAGAGCGACGTGTCGTGAGTTCTTTGGGTTCTGTTTGTTCGGGTACCGGTTTGTATTCGCGAGTCATTTCTGCGAGACCTGAAACAAAGAAAATAACTCAATAGTAAAATAATAAAAAAAATTCTTAATTTTCACAGCTAGCTAATTATCTAAAAACCAAATCAGATATTGACATGCAGTTCTCTAAGAAATGATTTTTAATAATACAACCATTTCAAATTTAAAACGTTTCTGGCCAATAGTTTTCGAATGGTAACCTTTTATAAAAATTTTAAATTTAATAATAACAATAAGTATAAAACGCCTTTATTTGCTTGCAATATACAATGCACATAAAAATCATGAGACGAATTCTAGCTTACGCTACTCAACTTAAACTCAATATAAATATAAACTAAAAATAATCAAAAAGTATCCAATATTTACAATATCAAAAAAAAATTAAATTTAATACACAATTAATTTATAAATAAATAACGTTAACTCTGCATTTAAATTTAAATTGAAATCAATTAAGGTCCTTAAATCCATTATTTTCAAAATGCAGAAAAAGGAAAACGTATGAAGCTTAAAATACACCTCCTTATTTGAGAACCTGTTTAATCAGTTAAAACAAATGTATTTATAATATTTCTACATAAACATTCCAATTTTAAAACGTTTCTGATCAATGATTGGTAGAATGGTAAAATTTTACAAAAGCAACAAATACCGTCCGCCAAAATTTCAATTTTGACACGTCGTCATCTGAGAACTAAATCACATATTGCGATGTGTTCTTCATAGAAATATTTTAATAAAATTTCTACATAAACATTCCAAATTTGAAAAGTTTCTAACCAATAGTTTTCGAATGGCAGCCTTTCACAAAAACAACAAGTCCATCCGCCAAAATTTAAAATTTGACACCTCTTTATTTAACAACCAATTCAAAAATTGACATGTGGCCTTCAAAGAAATGTTTTTATAACATTTTCCACAAATATTGCAAATTTAAAAGCTTTTTGACCAATAGTTTTCGAATAGTAACCTTTTATAAGCAACAAAGTACATCCGCCAAAATTTTAAATTTGACACCTCGTCGTTTGAGAACCAGTACAATATTGACATGTAGCCTTCAAAGAAATATTTTTATAACATTTCTACATATAAACATTCCAAATTTCAAATTTGACAACACCTCATCACTTAAAAACTAATTCAAATACCGACATGTGGTCTTTTAGTAATATTTTAATAACATTTCTACATTAAACAGTCAAAATTTGAAAAGTTTCTGACCCATAATTTTTGCATGGTGGCCTCTTACAAAAACAACAAAATCCGTCTACTAAAATTTCAAATTTGACACTTCGTTATTTGAGATGTGATCTTCATAGAATTATTTTTCTAACATTTTTCCACAAACTTTTTACATTTAAAAGGTTTTTGACTAATAATTTTTAAATGGCAGGCCTTTTATAAAAGCAATAAACTCTATCCGCAAAAATTAAAAATTTGACTACTCATTATTTGAGAACCAGTTCAAATATTGACATGTAATCTTCATAGAAATATTTTTCTAACATTTATCCACAAACTTTTTACATTTAAAAGGTTTTTGATCAATCATTTTTAAATGGCAGCCTTTTCAAAAGCAATAAACTCTATCCTCAAAAATTTCAAATTTGACTCCTCGTTATTTGTAAACCAGTTCAGATATTGACATGTGATTTTCATAGAAATATTTTTCTAACATTTCTCCACAACTTTTTAAATTTAAAAACTTTCTGACCAATAATTTTTAAATGGCAGCCTATTACAAAAGCAATAAACTCCAGCCGCAAAAATTTCAAATTTGACTCCTCGGTATTTGTAAACCAGTTCAGATATTGACATGTGATCTTTGGAGAAATATTTTTCTAACATATCCTCAAAAATTTCAAATTTGACTCCTCGTTATTTGTAAACCAGTTCAGATATTGACATGTGATCTTTAGAGAAATATTTTTCTAACATTTCTCCACAAACTTTTTAAATTTAAAAAGTTTTTGACAGAAAATTTTTAAATGGCAGCCTTTTACAAAAGCAATAAACTCTATCCGCAAAAATTTTAAATTTGACTCCTCGTTATTTGTGAATCAGTTCAGATATTGACATGTGATCTTCATAGAAATATTTTTCTAACATTTCTCCACAAACTTTTTAAATTTAAAAAGTTTTTTACCAATAATTTACAAATGGCAGCCTTTTACAAAAGCAATAAACTCTATCCTCAAAAATTTCAAATTTGACTCCTCGTTATTTGTAAACCAGTTCAGATATTGACATGTGATTTTCATAGAAATATTTTTCTAACATTTCTCCACAACTTTTTAAATTTAAAAACTTTCTGACCAATAATTTTTAAATGGCAGCCTATTACAAAAGCAATAAACTCCAGCCGCAAAAATTTCAAATTTGACTCCTCGGTATTTGTAAACCAGTTCAGATATTGACATGTGATCTTTGGAGAAATATTTTTCTAACATATCCTCAAAAATTTCAAATTTGACTCCTCGTTATTTGTAAACCAGTTTAGATATTGACATGTGATCTTTAGAGAAATATTTTTCTAACATTTCTCCACAAACTTTTTAGATTTAAAAAGTTTTTGACAGAAAATTTTTAAATGGCAGCCTTTTACAAAAGCAATAAACTCTATCCGCAAAAATTTTAAATTTGACTCCTCGTTATTTGTGAATCAGTTCAGATATTGACATGTGATCTTCATAGAAATATTTTTCTAACATTTCTCCACAAACTTCTTAAATTTAAAAAGTTTTTTACCAATAATTTACAAATGGCAGCCTTTTACAAAAGCAATAAACTCTCTCCGCAAATATTTCAAATTTGACACTTCGTTATTTGTAAACCAGTTCAGATATTGACACGTGGTCTTCAAAGAAATGTTTTTAATATATTTCTCTACAAATATTGTAAATATAAAAAATTTCCGATCCATAATGTTTAACAAAAATATCCCTTCCTAAAATTTTTAAATTTGACTCTTTGTTAACAAAGTCCATCCGCCCAAATTTAAAATTTGGCAACTCGTCATTTGAGAACTAGTTCAAATATTGACATGTGGTCTTCATAGAAACAAAATTTCTACATAAACATTCCAAATTTAGTCAATTTCATGCCGTTTGTTTTCAAATGGTATTCTTGCAAAGATAACAATGTCCTGACATAACAATTTCCGATGACCCTCGTAACCATCCAATGGTGATTTCATGATTTAATTTATACTTTAAAAGTGTTCGCAGTTTTGAGTTCGTAACGGTGCAAAAGTACAAAAGCAATTTTTGCATGTCCAATCGATTTGTAAACGGTTAAAGAGAATAATGACTAAATTTGGAACGCTGTAACGAACTTTGCGTAGAATTTATCCACTGTTAGAACATTCATTTTTAAACTAGGTACTTTTCATCACATTGTTTTTCTAATTCGATCCATTGGAATATTTTGGAAAAGTCTGCTAGTAGTATATTAAGAGCAAACATGACGGGCGCTCCTCCACCAAAAATCAATTTTACATTTGAGGCAGTTAAAAAAAATTGTAAAAAAATTGGTTCAGGCCAATCGTTGTAAAAATGAACCAAGAATTTCGCTAAACCGCGAAAAACTTATATTTTTAAAGAAAAACAACAAAAATTTCAACTTTTTAATAAATTTAATTTTTTGGCTCTTTACCGGCATTCTATAAGAAATATCTTAACTATTTTCTAAATAACTTTTTTTCAAAAAGATTACCAATTTTAAACAGGACCGAAGATTAACATAGTTTTCATTCCGATACTAATTCTATTAAAACAATGATACCAGTGAATATGGCAACGCTGCTAGTCTTTGAAGCCCGTGGTTAAAAGGGTAGCTGCCGTTTAGTTAAATTTGTTAATTCCTGTGTCGAAAAATAGGTAGTTGTTTTTGAAGAGGTGCGAAATTATTGTGATCGTCTTAGTTTGTTGTTGAGGCGTTGTTAGGTTTTTGTTTAATTTAGTTTTTAGTTAATTTATGAAATGAAAAATTCTGAAAGGCAAAAATGCACAGCTGATAAATTTCTATTTTATTTGTTTGCTGCCAGAGTTAGTAAATCCTAGAAAAATACGACATGTGCCAATTAGGGAAAAGAGATTGTCAAGAATTTTGCACGCTTAAAAAAATGTGTAATATACAGGGTGTTTCTAAATACATGCGACAAAATTCAGGAACTGAGTGCTCGTATGAAATTAAGATGGGTCTTTTCTATAACAAAATTTCCTCAGCCCACCCATTTTCTAGATATCACCCTTAAAAAGTGGTGACTAAAATTGAGTTTTTATTTTATTTCTAAAATTTCAGTAAAGCTAGAAATTTGAAATTCTGTAATCGCAAAGGACTAACCACGGGTATTTTTTCAATATTTCTGTTACATTATAGGGGGGTGAAATTAGCAACACTTACTTTATTTCATATCAAAACTTTTTTTCGAGATGAACTTTTATGAAATCCTTGATTTATTTAATTTTTTTTTATTCTTGAATTTTTTTCCCAAAACCAATAGCTTCAGAGAAAAAAAATTAACACCCTAATTTATTATTATTTTTTTTTAATAAATTGAGTGGAAAACAGTGTAACGGGCTTGTAACTATCGTATCGTACACTCGTACATTCGTTTCTTGCAATAATTTACACCAGTTTACACCAGAAGACAGCACTTAACGAAGCGTTTTAGCCACTAATTTTGGCGAATTTTAAGAAATCAATAACAAGACATTAGAGGCTTAAATTTGTGGATTATATTAAGAATAGTGCTGTCGAGGAATGCATTTATTTTCATTATGATATTTCAAAATTAAAGCCCTTTTAGTTTTTTTTGGGAAACTGGAAGGAATTAAAACATTAAAATATATGCATATTATAGATATTATTGCCTAATTTATTTTGCTAAATTTTAAATATTTTGAGATATTCTTGTCCGATAATTATAAGGGGTATGAACACCTTAAGATTGAAAGAGAATTAACTTTAATTCATGAGATGCAAAGCATCATAATTATCGCATCACAAAAACCACC